CCGCATAAATGATATAACTTTATCAAAGAAATTTGGCATTCTTTTATGATATTTTTAAATCAAATTGTAAGCCAGGCGGCTACAATTGTGAATGGTGTTAATTGTCCCGATACTGCAAACTAGTGCAAGCGAGTGATAAGAAATTTGAATTTGCTCACAAATTTTTCACATTAAAAATTCAGCTCGCACGACCTGTAACCATGCTGGCTGGTCATCAACGTCCGGATCTTTGGCAATAATGTCGACAAAATCACACAATAAGTTGAGGAGTTATAATGGTGAGGTATGGTAAAAGTCAATAATAGGATCAAATAAAATGCTTGAGATGATTTTATGCTAGGAGTGGGGGAGGAGAACCTGAAGTAAAAGGTTGGTTATTTCTGGCATAATGTTTAGGTGTATACTGACTGTGCGAAGCGAGCCACTCGTTGTAATCGAGGCCCCGCGGTAATTCTACCAGCTGGCGCATGTCCAGCTCGGGCAGCTTGCGCTCCAGCAGCGCCTCTTGCAGGTACAGCTTGGGGTCACCGGCCGGCTCGCCCTCACGCTCCTTGCGCCGCGCCTTCCTGCAACAAGCGCGCCAAAGCTCACTACGTCGCCCGTCATCAGATTGATAGGGTCCCTTCGGAAGGTGGACACAGTATGTCCTGCCTTCCATACACATCTATCAACCCACAAGAAGGTGGAATCACAACACAATATTCAGTTATATTTAAAGTTGCAGGAACAATTCAAAGTAATAAAATAATACTTTTAAAGCTTTCATGACGGTGTTTCTAATTTATGTATGGGGGATACCCCCTCTAAGTTTAATAGCGTAAAAATATATAGCCTAAAGCGTGTCGTAAGCGTAGGTCTTTTTATCAAAGATTTATTCAAAAACATCCTGTGATTGCTGACATCCTACGCCACAAAGTAGTAGGTGTTTACGCTTTATTTTATTAGTATAGAAGTATAGATAAGTATTATGTTAACGGCTTTTTTTCTACTCTACATCTCAAAAACAGTACTGTAGGGCGAGTATCGGCCGCGCTTGGAAATGTTGCGAAAGGTAAGAGCGACCAGCGACCACGCGATCGCCGCCTCGCCGTACACTTGCGACCTACACATTCCGCCGTATTTGATTCTAAAACAAAGACCAATTTTGTAAGTTGTGTGGGTATGGTTTTGATTGGTAATTAGGCGATTTATATTTAAGTTACAAAAATTAGTCCAACCGTTTCGTATTTAATCGGAACAAATGCACTCTTGAGGTAAGACAGACATATGATAATTTAAAAAACTGAAACATGTTTCTTACATGACTATGTATCGATTTCAGACGACCCATACAAACGTGAAACGTAAAGACATCGGTAGGCGCCATAAAGCTGCGAGATGACGACGAGAAACAAATTCCGCATCATTTTAATATATTTGGTACGTAACGTTAGCTCGTACGCTCTTTGCACATGGCGTTACATTATGTAAAAAGATTAACAGTGGAAGAGCCCGCAATAACATCTATTACACAAATGGATTGACTGAACCGATGTAATAACACGACCAAACAGATGACAGACGTAAAGTGGAAATAGTTACTTGTTACTTCTGATATCTCTCTCTCTCTCTCTCGATTCTCCTACTTCCACTTAACGTCTTTTTTAAAAAGATTTGACTTTACTAATTTTCATTTTTATTTATTTAAATCACGTAAGATTAATTACTAATGTTAAGCTTTTTACATAATCGTAAGTTCGTAACATAAACGTAAAATCGATCGTTTATTAATAATGGTGTTTGAATACATTTCAATTGCAGGCATAATTTAAATACTTTGAAATAGTTTCATTCAAAATAAAATATTTTTGGTATTTTTTAAATTATAATACATAAAAATTTTGTGATTTTTTCGGTGTTTATTATATTCCTTCAAAATTTTAATCGTAATAAATTTTGCATGAAGGTTTCTGAATATCGTTATTTTGATGAGTGTTATTATAAGGTGTGACCCCTCCCACACAAGTTGTCGCAAATAGTAAACGGATATTTACGTATCTACTACGTACTATCCAATCTAGCACCACAAATATCTATCAGACATCATTTTTAAATCAGCTTGAAATGTTTCCTGCTTCTTAATTCCTACTAAAGTTATGCTCTCATTCCTGACCACAAATGGTTTACGAATCCAGCCATCTTTCAATATTATGAAAATTTATGATGTCTGTGCCTATCGGATCATCAGGCCACCATTACGTAAAAGTTATCACGAACCCCTTAGCGTCGAATAGCGAATCACTTTGACAAACCCTGGACTGATGAATCAAATGCCATTATAACGATACAAAAATCGTAATTGTATCGATATACCAAAGTATTGCATGTAATTGACCATCCCTACCCGGCAGTGAATGACGCGCGGACCGCGGACCTGACCTTGGCCTCTCGGTCGGACCATGTTGTGATCAGCTGCGTCACCGCCGCACCGCCGCACCGCCGCTGCCGCGCAGTCAAACGGCGGGCCGTCATATTATTCGCTAGCCTTATTCGTTTCGTTATCGGAAAGTTCTAGAACATCGACAGATATGAGACTACTGATAATATGACCATTCACTTTAATGTAATTAATATCAAAATTAAGTTTTTAGAGGACCGAGTCGTAATTATGAAATTTGATATTAATTACGAACAGTAATTGCAGTGGAATATTGTCATTAATTAGCCGGGCCAAGGTCGCCACCATTGCCGTGGTGAAATCAACATGAACCGCAGCCGCAATCT